TAAATTAACAATAAATTAGGGTATTAACGCGAACCTACAAAACGGAATTATAAAACAAATGGAATTCAAATTCTGGACGGAGAAATTTATGGCACGTTGAAGATACCAAATAATAGTCGTGTACATTGAACACTTGTTCGCTTACGTGTATACGTAAATATTTTTTAAGGGAATTGATAAAGCGTGTCTGTTAGACACTCGTATCAGCCATGAGGCAGCCGGTGTCACCAAACTCATGGTATCATTCTTTTTGGTACAACATCAACTCAGGACAATACAAGAGTAAGCATTTGATGTTTACTATTTGTACGTACACCTTTTGGTGTGCACAAATGCAGAACGTTAAAAAAAAAAGCATATTTTTAATTGCCTAAAGGAGCTTTTAACACGAGTGTGTATACTCTTAGGACGAAAGTTGATAAGTTCGAGAACGTACAAATGATTGAGGACCATAAAAGTAAATACCATTAACAAATGAGAAACAAATAAGAAACAAATGGGAAACAAATTACGTAGAATTATCTCGAATTTTGAGAAGTAAACTTGATTTAAGCATTATTGATACTCCGACATCATTCCGATTATGCTGATTATGCCGATTATGTCGATTATGCCGATTATGCCGATTATGCCGATTATGAAGAGGCTGATCACATCGTGATCGATCACAAGTTACAACGGTTTACGAAATATTTATTTATATAGAAACGGTCAAAAATCAAGTAACACGCCAAGAATATATGAAATATATGCTAAGGCAGTAACACTAAGTGACCACGAGGTTAACGGCATCATCGACCACAGGGAAGCAAGTTATTCATTTAGGAAATAAATCATGCAACCTTCGTTTATCGTTATTCTGAGCCGGGAGTTTATCAACCGCTTTCTTTGGAACTTAAGCTCGTGGAAACCAAAATTACGATAAACTTGAACAACTTTCACACTTGTTTGCTTTGTTTGTTGTTTGTAAATCATTCCTCGTGAGGGAGAATCCGACACAATGATTTGTGACTTTATAACAAGTCTTTTATATTATATTTTTTCATCAATTGCTTTAAAAGTAAATATTGAGAGCAAGTTATTTACTCATTTGGATCGAACAAGAATCGGAATTAATCGTGGGAACGATAATGACGTACAAATAATAGTTAATACAAATGATTCACCTAGTGTGTGCGAAATTTAACTGAAATTTGTTGAAAATCGCGTGCAAAAAAAATAAACTTGCTTATAAATTTTTATAATTTTATTTATAATTTTATTTATGATGATTTTATTCATAATTTTATTTATTTTTTTTATAAATTTATAACTTATATTTTATATTTTTTACAATTTAGTTTTTACAACGATAATTTAGTTTTTATCATTTATTTTTTTATCATTTATTGTTCGATAATTTATTTTTTTATCATTTATTGTTCGATAATTTATTTTCTATAAATTATTTTTATAAATTATAATTATATTGTAAATTTTCTATGAAACTTAATGAAACTTAATGAAACTTGGTAAAGATTGTTTTCTAAATACCGAGAAAAGATATTGCGTTAAGACATCAAATGATTACATTGATTTTAAAAAGTCCTATTGTTTTCTAAATCCATATGACAATAGAATTTTCTTTAAAGACAACCATTATCAAATGATTTGTTGATGCTCTATTTGGTTACAATGGTACAATCTGCTAAATCTGAATGGTCGGTGATGAATGAAGAGAAGTGATATATAGCATTTATCCTATCACCATCCATCACCATCCATCACTATCCATCACTATCCATCACTATCTATCACTATGCAAACAAAAAAAAATCAAGTAATGCTTTAGTGTTTTATTACTAGATTTACTAGATTTACTAGATATGAAAGGTTAATTAATCTCGCCTAAACTTTACTAATCACGAAATCCAAAATTGGTATTCGACAAGCATTATCGTTATGCGAACCATCGCACTCTGCGTGAACAAAATAAGAATAAAACAACGTGAATATGATCTTCAAATTGAACAGGGGTGTTGCATTAGAATTGCAGCATTGAAAAGCATTGAAAGAAGAGAAAGTCTTTTTTTTACTGTTGTTTGTCGAACCTGTTGATTTTGTTTGTTTACGTTCAATCTACTTATATCTACTTGTATTTTTTGTTTGTGTAAAGAATTCACCTATAGGTACCATAGATACCTATAGATCATGTATATGCGTTGTCATGAAAAATGCTTCGAAAAATAAAAAATTTTTTAAAGTTTACCTAAAAATAATTTATAAATAATTTGTAAAACATTATTTAAAAAGTTTAGAATAATTTAGAAAATTAGAATAAAAGGAATAAAAGAAAAAAGGGTTCAATAGGCATGCGACAACTCATTCGCACAAGATCGACAGGAAAATCCGTGGGATGTTCCTTGAAAAAGCCACAGGATGACCAATAAGAATATTCCAAAAATCCCATTAGTACAAACTTGTAAATAAACAGGACACAAGAAAAATGTTACAAATAAATGTCGGCCACCATGCTTTTTTACCTCAAACTGTCAAAAAACTTTCAATCGTAGGACAAAGAACCTTGATTGTATGTGTTAAGATTATAAATTATAAATAATAATTCATACATTTTTCAATATCCATACATCTTTCGATGCTCCACGTAACTATGAGCAAAAAAAAGAAAATGTTAAAATAATGTATTCATATATCAGGCAATGTGTCGTATGCTAACAATTATGAAATAATAATGGCATATGCACCTTCCAAATATTAAATGACGTTTGAAAATGCTCAATATGACGGCGTGGGGATTGTATGCAAACTGTCGGCATTGTTTTATGCTCCTTTGTTCCCGCTCGATTTCCTCTTTTTCCGACCCTGCGTCGTCTGCGTTTCCGACCTTTAATTATCTATAGGACTCGACGTGTGACGATGCGCGAAGAACACGAGTCTTCAAATATTCGTTTTTTCCCAATTTGTCTAATTAACTTTACGAAAGTCTGCGCATCAATGATATACATTACATTTTATGCTACGCTATGGTTTGATAGTGATTTTATTACGAGTCTATTAAGTCTATTATATATATTATGCTCGTCAACATCAATGTTCTGGTTAGATTCGGGTTTTTAGATTTAAACGTGTCTTGATTGGTAGAATCATATATTTTACTTAATTTTGGCTTACTCGAAAAAATATAAATTTTCTTTTTTTGCATTTAATAAAAATGGTTTACATGTAAAGTGAATTAATTTCTACTCTTGTGAATCGGATAGAAAACTGAGGGGTCGCATTATTGTCGGTTGATTTCTTTGAGGAGGCGATGCATCGGAATGAGAAACCGTAAAGAGATGATAAAAGAATTGAAAATTTTGTTATATAAATCTTATTACAAGTAATTATTACTGATATAAATAAATGACGATAAATAAAATAAATAAAATAAAAAGTAAAAAATAAAATAAATAAAATAAATAAATAAATAAAAAAATAAATAAATAAAATACTGTTTATTTTTTATTTTTATTTTTATTTTTTTTTGTTACGTTGTTTTTCCTGCGTTATAATTCACGGTGACATTTGAATGATATGTTGTAGATTCTACTGTATAAATTTTTGTTAAGTCAACAATAGACGCTGATAAAAAAAAAAAAAAAAAATTTTTTTATGCGTTAATCTAGTCTGCCTGCTTTATACTTAAATTGGATAACCCAGATAATTTCGCCATTGCCTTTGTTGCCTGTTCTGGTTTTTTACACACCTCATTATTTTGGCTCACGATTATATAAACTGACGATTTCTTGAAAACCTAGTTCTACCCCTCTTCGCTTGTTTCTTGTGTTGAGTTTTTTTCTTTTTTTTTTTTTTTTTTTTTAATTCCTAAAGTTCCTTCCACCTGTTCTTTCCGTCGACTTCCCTTTTCGAAACTAAAGCGAACATAGTCTTTCGCTTTCCGCAACTTTAACTTTTTGTGATCTCATTAGTCTAGCCCTTAACTCTGGCTTTCACACTTCTTATTGCCTTGGGATTGGCGAAATTCTCTTCTATAGTTTTCAAAGAATATATTCGAGGAAAGAAACACGCAAGCAAATCGTGTTCTAAAATCTTATGACACGACGTTTCTTAAAATATACCTGACAGAAAAAAAAAGAAAAACAAAAAACAATAAAAGAAGCTTTAGATAGAGCGACTATTTATTAGATTTTTTCTTTTTTTTTTTTTTTTTTTAATATAAAAAAAAAATCGTAACTTAATCAAATTCTTATCGGCTTTTCGCGTGTAATTAATTATCATCACGGTAAGTTTGACCCTAAACTTTACGTATCATGATGTCAACTTTTTTGCTTTTCTCACTCGATTGCTACCAGTCATCATATGATTATTCGTACTCCATTCTAACTCTTCATTTTTTTTTTCGCCTTAAACTTTTTTTTTGTTACATAACATATTGTTATTATTTAAACCTCTTTCATTCCACCTCACTACTGTTGCCACATAATTGAAACACGTATTAGAATTCTTTCTCATTATTCGGTCAAGGTCCTTATATAAACACTTTTTGTCTTCGGGTTTGAATTAAATTTTAAAAAAAAACTTTTCATTTTGGACCAAAAAAAAAAAAACCTACCTTTTCATTGCTTGTAATTTGATCGTCTTTTCCAATGGATATAATGACTGCTGTGGTTCCTAAAGACATCACTAATACTGTTCCAACTGATGACCGGAAAATAATGTCCAATTCTGAAGCAAAGGCCTTAAAAAATACTTGCAGTGTTCTTCTTTCACCTTTGTATGCGCCGGTCGCAAAGTCCATGTCTATCAACAATCCAATTCAACATTTAGAATCTGACAACTTGATCTGGGAACCTCGCGCGACAAAGTTCTTCGATTTTGGTGATTACTTTAGCTATGCTGCTAACAAGCTCTTAATCGAAACCGGTTCCACCAAATCAAATAATAATAATAATAATAACTGCAACTTCAATAATAATAATAATAATAGTAATAATAATACTATGGGTCACTCTTGCGTTAATTCCCCTTATTATGATCATTTAATTAGCGGTGGTGGTTCTTTCCAAAATAATGGTACTACTACTATTCCCACTTCTATTGATGTGGAGTGCGATAATAATGTTGTCAATGAAGATCCGTATCAACAGGCTCTTTACAGCATCGCTTTTGCTAAACCATTGGTCATTCCATCTGCCTGGTCTTCTCTTGAGGATTTAACCACTCCTACTACCGCTACTACAAGTTCCACTGCAACTTCTCGTTGTTCTACTCCTGTTACTAATGGTTGGCCGTTAGTTGATCATCCCGCTGAAAGTTTTGTATCGCAACGAGATTCTACTTCAACTCTCAGATCTCGTTCCTCTTTTCCAAATTTTCATGCGTTAAAGAAAAGAACTTCGATGGGCAGTTTTATTAGCAATTCCTCTGATTTACCCTCAAGTCCTCTTGGTGATAACAACAACAACGCTACCACCTCTCAACAACAATTTCAACAGACAAAAGTTCGTCGTTCTAGCAACCCTACTGTTATTTCGGATGTTGCATCTGAACATTCTGAAAAATCCACTATTGAACTCGAGAAGGAACAAAAGAAAGCCACTCTATACAAAACAGAAATGTGTCGAAATTGGGAAGAACGTGGTTCATGCCGGTTAGTACTTATCGATTATACTTATTATCACTATTAAATTTTTTTTTGTCATGAATTTTTATTTATACAATATTTATAATATTTTTCTTTTTTTTTTTTTTTATAAAATTTTATAATATTTAATATTGTTTATATTATGTTTATAATATTAATATTAATATTTATAGTTATGGAAATAAATGCCAATTCGCCCATTCTGATGCCGAATTGCGAAAAGTCACTCATCACCCAAAGTACAAGACCGAAATCTGTAAAACCTTTTGGCAAAATGGTACTTGCCCTTATGGCAAACGATGTTGCTTTATTCATAACGATAAAAACCGTCTTCTTCTTTGCAAAAGAAGAAACAGCGCTGACAATTTAAAAAATTCGAGTAAAAGTAACAAATCCAAAGGTTTAAGTAAAGTTGGAAGTGACCCTGCTCTTTATGGATCGTACGTTAATGATTCCGCATCGTCTGGAACTATACAACCTGTAACTTCAAATTTAAAAGGTACCCCTACTTCTTCAAGTACAGAATCCCTTCGAGCTTTTACAGATGCTTACTTTTCGGGTCCATTGGTTCTTCCTGGATCGATCTCAAATGATCCAATTTTGAATGGTGAAATTTCCACTGTTCATGATGAATCTCATCCAGGTAGCTCTTCCATTAACGTTAATACAACGCCAACGAATACTCGGGATGATGAGGACGATGAAATCAATGTTCCATCAGGTTACGCTGATAAGCCTATGCTATTACGTGAACTATTAACCGATGACGGAACATCGACTCTTTACGATTTTAACTCGATTCAACCTGATTTATACGATTCAAAATTGGATCAAAATGATCATGTACAAGCGCGTCGAAGAGCATCGACAACTTCATGTCGATTAGAGAAAGCAAATGTTGTCAATAATACTTCTAACGTTGTCGGTAATACTATTCTAAGAGAAAGAAGCGTTAGTATGAGTGTTAAGCAACCCACAAATCTCGTGTCTGTTGTTGGTCAAAATCGCGGAAGAAGGTTGGCAATATTCAGAAATCTAGGTTAGACTTGTTTTACACAAATTATTTACATATATCCATAGTTTAACAAATATTCAGAAGCTTTATATATAGCATATAGAACTTAAGAGATGAGCGTTGAAAGTTTGGCGAGATTTATCTTTAACAACCTGCAATTATTATTTTTTTTTTCTTTGTAATTATTATTTTTTTTTTTTATAATTCTTATTTTTGTCAAACCTCTATGGGGTTGAATCATATTGCATTGTGGTTGTGGTCGCACTACATTTCTTGTACAAAGAGGTGGGAAAAAATCAATGAACATTGGTCATCCTTTTTTTTTCTTTTTTTTTTTTTTATTATTTTTAACAATTTCTAGGCATAGCACAATTTTCAAATTTATTATTTCTGTTTGTTTCGATTCTTTAATGTAACCTTTGCACTGTTCGTGATTTTTTTATTTTATTTTATTTCTTGGCTTTTTGGCTATTGATTCGAAACTTGTGTTTACTGATTCCTTTTTTTTTTCTTAATCGAAAAAAATGAAAATGAAAAAAACAATATATAACTGAATTAACGATAATTCATTTCCTTATTTACAGTAACATGCTCTTAATACTATTTAATTATAAGTTGGTTTGTAAGAATTATCTTACTGTAATTAAAAAAAAAAAAAAAAAAAAAAAAAAAAAAAAAAAAAAAATATAAATATATATAAATATATATATATACATACATATACATATACATATACATATATATATACATTACATAGATATATAACGAATATAAATGTAATTTATATTATTACTAATCAGACATGTTCTTTTGTTCTCACTCGTCACTCTGCAAATACTGCACAGATGTGATATTTTTCCTATTGTAAATACTGTCCGCAAAAAGTAATCGATTTTTAATAATACAATGGCCTTTTACCATTGAAAAAAAACTACACAATTATCGTGCCGTCAAGATTGTAGGGTGTATTGTAAATTCTACACTCTACATGAGCAAAAGAAACAATTCGAAAATTCATTCGATTGTTCTTTTTGCCTAGACAAAAAACCTCTAATTGAAATTATTAAGAATATTCTTTTTATTTGTTCAAATGATGAATACACAACTTTTTTTTTACATTGCAATCGAGTTTTTATTCTCGTAATATTATTCGTTTTTCGGTGGCTGTGCTAATAGCGAAATCTCGTATCTCATTCTCTCTCCGAATATGGAGATAATCAAAGGTAAGTACATACCCAATACTGATTAATTCGTATCACATATCGGCCGTTACACGAGGCAAGGGACACATGGATATTAAAGCGACTTGTACGTACGTACGTACGTACATACACGTACCTACGTACTTTATTTTTAATAATTTTATTGAGACCCTGTATACTTTTAATTTTTTATTGTAAAAAATAAGATAAAAACCAGTATACGTATATAGTTTTTTTTTTTTTATCAATAAATATGTAAAAAAAAAATTTTTACTATTTGTACAGTACGTACTGTACAATAATAATTGTAACAGTTAATACTAAATATGTACGTACGTACGTATGTACGTAGGTTTTTACGTATTTTAATCTATATTATACAGTATTTTTTTTAATAACATTATATATTTTATATAATTAAAAAAAGAACTAAAATTTTAAATTTTATATTAATTAAAATACCATATACAGTATACAGTATTTGTATATATGTATAAGCAAATTTTAAATTATTTTTTATTTTTAAAATAAGATTCTGTTTTATAATTTTTATTAACAATTTAAATATAATAGCAAATTTTGATTTACTATATTTTAAAATAGGGAATTGCTATTTCCACCCCCCATTTTTGCTAATGCCACCCCTAAAATTTAAAAAAGTGCTCTGGAAGAGGTATTTTTATTAAGAAAACTTTCTTTTTAGTCTTAATAAAAGTTGTTTAAAATCATTAAAGTCAGACCAATAGTTTTTATTTAAAAGTAAATGAAAGTTAACTAACTTTAGATATAAATATCTTAGGAACTACTGATCTGAGTATAATAGTTTTACTGCCATTAGAATTAGAAAGGTCTGATGAACAACTTTTATTAAGATCACAAGAAAGGTTTACTAATAAGAATATTTTTTCAGAGCACTTTATAATATTTGGGGAGTGGCATTAACAAAAATAGGGGGTGAAAATAGCAATTCCCTTAAAATATTATATAATTTTTAAAATATAAATATTTAAAATTAAAAAAATTAAAATTATTATTAATTTTAAATATAATATATAAAAAAAATTATTTTATATAGTTATAAAATTAATAGTTAAAGTTTTATTATACTGTTAATAATATATAGTATTATAATATTTTTTAAAAGTAATTATTTAATATTTTAACAAGTTAACAATTTTTTTTTAATATTAAGATAACTTTTGGTAATGTTTTTTTTATTTAATTATAGTTTAACTTTTATAGTATAATATACATCATATAGTATTGTATATATATTTGGAGAGTATAACTAGCTAAATATATAACTTTTAATTGCTTATTAAAGTAGTCTACTTATTATTATTATTATTATTATTATTATTATTTATTGGCAGCCTCGCTGGTATCTTTATTAGATCAAAGCATATATATACATATATTTAACTATCTAAACTATAGATCTGATATTCTCCGGTTACCTCTATAAGCACCCAAGGATGGTTTGCCTCACTGGTTAAGACTAATATCCATATTAGAAGGTTGCACCAAGCTAGCTATTGAAGCTATACCAAAATGGCTTCACACTATTTACAATAAAGTCTTTAACTGCAGCAAACCAAGTATTTTCTTTTCTGTTAGCTTTCTTCTCTTTAATGTTTTTTTCTTTCTTTTTTACCTTTTTCTTAGTTTGCTCTTGGCTCTGACTATATTCCCCATGATCCACATTTGATTCATTTCTGCTGGTAGCTGTTTTTCCAACTTTTAGTTTTTTTTCTTTCTTCTTTTTCGAGTTTATTCTATTTTTCTTTTCCCAATTGTTAAAGAATGCGTATCTTTGTTTTCAAATGTTTTTATAAAAGTAATTCCAGGCTAAGTTGGCTGCTATTTCAAGGTAGCTTCCGATTTCTTTTAGCGATCTTACTAATTTGAGAATTTTTTTTGTAATTTCGTTTTTAATTAGTCCTTTAAGAATATCAGCTCTTGTCTCATTTTTTCTTCTTTCATTGAACTCCAAAGAGAGCTTTTAAGTTGAACCTTATCAAGACGACTGCAGGTTTCTTCTAAGAGAGCTATCCAAGCCAAGTTTGATGCTAGCTGCTCTGCTTCTATCCACTTGATTTTGTATTTCTCGCATGAAGTTAAATGTTCTTGATCTTTTTCATCTCCTTTTGTGTATAATTTACAAATTGGACTATTATATAGGTCTGGTCTTTTAACTACTAAGGTTTTAAGAACTAGGAGACTCTCATATATGTATTTGACTAGCACTCCCAAATGTTTATTCTTTCTCGCACTTGTGCATCTAACTCCATTTTGATTTTTAATCTTTTTTCATAAAATAGACCAATATTGGCATTGTCTCTTGTCATCGGGTTCTACTTTCGTAATTGCTAATGTGGATTTCTATTCTATCTCTGTTTTGAGCTCAAGTGTTAGTTGTAAAAATTCTCTTGTAGGAGCTTCTACTACTGTTTCTTCCCAGCATAAAGAGACATTCGATTCTTGTAGGGGTTTATCTATAATTCTTTCTCTATCTACTATTCTAGATCCCATCTTTGCCATTTTATCCGCCATATCATTCCACCTATTTCTACTATGTCCTTTTACCTTTTCTAATTCTAGCTGTTATTCTTTCATTTTTGCTATATCTATAATATATTTTACTAAGTCATAATTCTCTACTCTTAGCCTTTGTCTAGCCAGTTTATTCCAATTTCTACTTTCTAATCTGGCTAAAGCTGCTGCACTATCTGTATAAATTTTTACTTTCTTTCTTCTTGGTGTAATTAAGAGCGCACACCAAATTCTCAGTAACTCCGCTTTAGTTGAAGATAGCCAGTTTTTTGCTCCAAGGTATCTTTTATCAATGACTTTTTCCTTCTCATCTATGAGTATCCAGCTTGCTTCCATTTTATCTGTCTCTGCTTGAATTATTTTTTATTTCTTCTTAAAGAACCAGTCCACTTATTATTAAGTTTTATCATATTTATAATTTAATTAAGAGTTATTTATTTAAATCCTCTGTGTCTACAGTATATACAGTATTATTACAAGTATATTATAGCCTTTTAATATATTACAAGTAACAAAGTATATGATTACACAGATTGGTAAATTTTTAGTATAAGTAGACATATATAAATATTAATATTTTTGAACTAATTTAATTAATAATTTACTATTTAAGAGTTAGTGTTCTGTGGTTCGGTTTGGGTTCAGTTCGGAAGAACCCGAACCTGAACCAATAATTTTGCTAGCTTTTGAACTTGAACCGAATATGAACTCACAATTTCTGAACTCAGATCGAACCCAAACTTAGTAAAAGTTTGGTTTGGGTTCAGTTTGAAGTTCATGAACATGTTTGGGTTCAAATATAATAATTTTATATCTGATATAGTATTAAACTTTTATGCAGTATATAATAAAGCCTTTATAAGTGCAGACTAAACTTTATAATGTGCACTTAGAGAAAATTTGAGTGCTTAGAGAAGTTGCACTTACAGAAATTTTACTGTATATAGCTCTTATCACTTAAGTATTTGTACATATAGTAGTTTATGAAGTTATTCTTTGATTTATATTCAAATTTATATAATATATAGCTTACTGGTATTTGAGTTTGTATGCTATCTTAAATTAGCTATACGTATAAGGTGAGCAAAATTTGTATGTAAAGTAGTTTAATTGGCTAGCTAAATATAACGTGATGATAATCTATTGATCATTTTAGTATAAAAGGGTAATCAAAGTTCTTTCCAATTTAAAAAATAAGGAGGTATGTATGTACCTGGCATAGTATTACTTGTAAAGCTGAGTAAAAAATTGTTTAAAGTTGATAAAAGAAGGTT